CAAGATGGTCCCAAGAGGCTTCAAGAGGACTCCAAGAGGCCCCCAAGAGGTTCCAGAGAGGCTCCAAGGTGGCTCCAAGAGACCCCCAAGATGGCCCCAGGAGGCGTTCTAGAGGCCCCAAGAGTCCGCCGTGAGGGTCCAATAAGCCCCCAAGAGGCCCCAAGATGGTTCCAAGGAGCCCCCCAAAGGCTCTCAAGTGGACCCCAAACCGCGCCAGGAGGCTTCCCCTTCCCCAAGAGGACCCCAAGCGGCCCCAGGAAGGCCCCCGACTGCTGACGCACATATCCGTAGCCATCTCGGATCAAGGTATCGCCTGTGTTCTTGGATCATGGCTTTGACGGCGAAAGACCTTGTAACATGTACTTCTGCAATCGCATCCCCACGAATTTGCCCCAAAAATGTGACCAACTATCTTGGCACTGCGTACCATCTCACGTGTACCGTGTACCACATCATATGTAACAGATGTGATCAACCTCTGTGGGTGTGTACCCCACGCCAGTGTAGTAGCCAGGGTCGTCCGCACGCCACGAAGTGAAGTGTCCCAACGTCATAGGGCGGGAAGCTGGGTGTGGGTGGTCTCGAAGAGTCGTTTGGATATTTGGTAGAGCTTGAACGGCCCCCCCACGAAGTGGGGGTATTGGCTGGTGTCGCAAGAAAACCCTGGCACTGGGGAGAACACTGAGCGTTCGGGTAAAATGATTGTTGTTGTTGTTGTTGTTGTTGTTGTTGTTGTTGTTGTTGTTGTTGTTGTTTGTTGTCGTCGTACCACCCGCGACCCACCCGCGACCCACCCCGCGACCCACGCCGCAACCCACCCCGCGACCCACCCCGCGACCCACCCCGCGACCCACCCGCGACCCAATATGTGACCCACCCGCGACCCGCCCCGCGACCCACCCGCGACCCATCCCGCGACCCACCCGCGACCGATCCACGACTCACCCGCGACCCACCCCGCGATCCACTCGCGACCCACCCCCAAGGGAGGAGGAACCACCCGGACCCGACAATTGACGTTTACGAAACGGCCCTGGGAGATTACTGAACAGCCTTGCCCTGTTCGATTTTTTCTTTGTGTGCGTTTACTAAAAGGCTTCGCTTGTCGGGGTGATGAATATGGGGTGGATTTTCTGCCCTCTACACCCGCGACCCATTTGCGACCCACCCGCGACCTACCCACATTGCTTTAACGAAAAAAATCTGCGCCTGCGGCGGGCTCGTTGTATAATGTGTGAAATAATGGCGCCTGCGGCGGGCTTCTCCAGAGTCTCGCAAACTGCCGACGTTCCCACTGCCCCCTCACTCTTATCCGCATCTGCGGGGCGCTACGTATATATTCCTCTTTCTATATTTTTACAAGCCCGGGCGGGGGGAAAACCCGTCACCCCCCCCCCCCAAAACCGGACTCCCGGGATCTGGGGCTTAGGGACCCTCCGGACGGGCCTCGAAGCGGCCCCCAGGGCCTCGCAGGACGTGGCGCGCTCCCGAAACGACCCCAGAGAGCCCCAATACGATCGACGACGACCCCCAAGAAGCCGTCATACCCCCAAAGATCGTCCCGAAACGTCCCAAGAGGCCTCCAAGAGCACTCCCAAGAAGGCCCCAAGAGGCCAAAATCCTTGATTTCGTTGGTTTATGGCTTATTTTGGGGTTCTCCTCTTTTCGGCTTCCCGACGCTCCAAGACGGCGGTCTTCTGGGCGTCCGAAGCCGCCTGGGAGGCTCCAAAATCGCCCCACAACCATCCGAAGGGGCTTCCAGGCAGTCCAAGAGAGCCCCCAAACGGCATAACAGGGGTCCAAGATGGCCCTCAGGGAGCCCCATGGCTGCCCAAAATGGCCCTAAAACACCCTCCGAAGCATTCCAAATCGTGACCCGGTCGTTCAGGGAGACCGCGGTTGGAGGCAGGGTGGCCCGACAAACCCCCAGAACCCCCCAGAACACGCTCAGAAGGCCTCCAGAAGGCCTTAAGAAAGCCTCCAGAACACGCCCGTGCGGCCCCAGAGGCTCTCCAAGGAGGAGCTCCCCAAAAAGAGCTGAGGAGGATGGGGAGAATGCGCAGGGCATGGCGAACATTAGGAATAAGAAGCACGGAGGAAGGATAACGAATGACATGATTATAGCGGCGATGCCGGAAAAGGAGTTATCGCTAAATTGTCGGCTTGACCTTCCTGCTATTCCGCAGGCGTGCCAAATTTCGAGGACCAAGGTGCATATGGCGCGAAGCGCCACTGCAGTCTTGTATATATATATATATATAAATATATATGTATCCCTACCGCCGTCTCTGAAACTTCTCCCCTTCCCTCTCGTACACGATATACAAATGTATATACATATGTGTATCCATCTCTCTCTCTCTCTCTTACACACACATTCTCTCTCTCTCTCTCTCTTCTCTCTCTGGGCGTCTGCTGGGGCACAAGTCTATGCGCGTTTCACCCCCTCCACCTGGCCCGTAGGCTTTGGGTCGCTGCGCAGGGCCTGCGCTGGGGGGACCTAGCGTGGGCGCCTTGTTCTCCGTGGGGCGGCCCGCCGCTGCCACCAGAGAGTTGTCGCCGCCCTTCCGCCCAACATGGCCCTGGTGCCCGCCGCGCTGCGTCGCGGCATGGGAGCATGCCCAGATAGCTGTCGCGTGCCGACTGCCAGCGCACGCCGAAGAAGCCTAGGACCCTCGCTAACCGCCCCTCCTGCCCAGGCCAAACGAATCTGCCGTGCGGGGCGCTGGTAGCCCCGACTGCCGCACGCGGACATGTTTGCGATTCTATCACCTTCTCGTTTTCTGCTATCTTCTGTCGTTCTGAATTTTGCTGTGCTTTCTCTCTCTCTCTCTCTCTTTCTCTCGCTCTCTCTCTCTCTCTTTCCATCCATCTCTCTCTCTCTCTCTCTTTCTCTCTGCCCTTGTCTCTCTCATTATCTCTCTCTCTCTCTGATGTTTCTCTCTCTCTCTCTCTGTCTCGCTCTCTGTATGTGTGTATGTATATATGTATATATACGCATGTGTGTATGTCTTTGTCTCTCTCTCTCTCTTTCTGTCTTCCTCTCTCTCTCTCTCTCGCTTTCGCTCGCCCGCCCGGGAGGCCCAAAAAGGCGAAACGCCGCAGGGGTAGTGGTACCCCCAAAACTCCGACATCGAGATCTTTTCCAAACGTGGGCCCCAGAGATCTGGACCATGTCCCCCGGATCGATTGTTCATCCAGGGCCGTCCTTTGACTGAACCAAGGCCTGGCGAGGACACCCGGAGGCCGGAAACGGCCAAACACCTGCCCATCGTGATCCTTCACGGGCATGTCTCGGTTTTTCTCGGATCACTTATGTTGGACAGTCGCTGGCCCTGCTGAGCGCATGAAGAAGTGTATGGAAATATGTGTAATGACACCAGCGGTTCATGATGACCCCAGTGGCCTGTGCCTGCGCATGGGGATACAACGACAACCACACTACACGTCGTTCATTTCTAATCGTGCTCATTTCTACTTGTGCTTGTTTCTAATTGTTCCTGGCCCCCTAGTGGCCAGGAAGAGGTCCAGGATAGAACAATTAGAAATGAAAAGATCTGGGCCCCCCAAAAAATCAAATGAACTTCCGAATCATTAGACATGAACGCTGTGTACGCGCTGAGCATACGCAGGGCTTTTCTCGTCTGGGTCCCTTTTTTCTTCGACATGCTGTCCGGCCGACCTGGCCCTCCGCGTCAGGGGCGCGGCCTGCCTCCTGCAGCAGCACCGCGCCATGTAAGGTCAGCAAAACGACCCCATCGAAGCCCCAAACACGGCACGCGACACAGCGAGGAGACGATGGGTCGAGAACTCCAGGGAAAGCAGCGATGACCTCGACCTGGCCCAGGGTGGGGAACACGAGGCGGCCTCCCAAGGCTTTCCCCAGGAGGCCTGGGGGGAAGGACCCGATGGTCAGGAACAGGTCGTCTGGGTCCGTCCTCCTCCTCCGCGCCCATACCGCACGTTCGTGCTGTGTCGACTCCAACCTTGGTTCCTGACACCGCGGGGATCGTCCGACCCGGAACGATCGGCCGGTGCCGCAAAATCCAATCGTTCAACATCGACCGATTCTGGGTCGCCGGCGGCGTTCAATGTGTAACGCCGGCGGCGGGGTCGCCGCCAGTCGATACTACGCGAACCCCTCGGGCGGCGTGGCGATCGATCAGGAGGCGACAGCCAGTCCTCCTCCTCCTCCTCCTCCTTCTCCTCCTCCTCCTCCTCCTCCTCCTCCTCCTCCTCGAGGGGGGGGGCCTCCGAGCCGGGGCCATGCGCGGAGCTGCCACGCGGAGCGCGATCTGTTCAAACGGAAGCAGACGTTTGCACGAATGCGCCACACGCCATACGCAATAATGACTGCCCCTGCTGGGCTCGTAGGTGGCGCTCCCAGTGGGGCGCCATCCGCTTGACAAGGCGTGGAGACGCCATGGGAACTCCAACTGGGGCCTGAAGTGCACGGCCGCGATCTTCGCGAGGGGCGCGCCGACGCGGGCACGAAGACGCAATTGGAGCACCCCCGCGAAGGCCGTAGGCGGAGTTCCCTCAGTGGCGCGAGCCACGGGAAAGGCGCACCGCTATGGTTGTGGATACGCTCTGGGGGGCGCCCCCCCTGGGCCTGGGGGTGGAGCCCATTGCGGACCGCAGTTCGCGCCAGGGGCGCGCCGAAAAGAGCGCGGAGACGCTTAAGGTACGCCGCTGCTGGGGCCGCAGATGAAGCCCCCCATTGGATCGCGATCCGTGCGAGGAGCTTGCCGAACTGATCAAGACGTTCGCAGCAACGGCAGCGGACGGCATCGACGGGCCACCAGCAGCAAGCAGCAGGCAACGCAGCAGAGGCGGCTGCGAGCGGAGGAGGGCGGGGGGAGGCGGAGAAAGGAGGAGGAAGACGCGCGGCGCAGCGGAGGGAGCACAAAGCACCGATCAACAAAAGAAGATTGGACAACCAAGCGGCACCGAAAACAGACCCCTGCTATAAATTCTACATCCGGGGAATGGACTGGTGTAGAAATGCACTCCTCCGATCCTCCTCCTCGTCCTCCTCCTCCTCCTCCTCCTCGTCCTCCTCCTCCTCCTCCTCCTCCTCCTCGTCCTCCTCCTCCTCCTCCTCCTCCTCCTCCTCCTCTCCCTCCTCCTCCTCCTCCTCCTCCTCCTCCTCCTCCTCCTCCTCCTCCTCCGCCTCCTCCTCCTCGCCCATACCCCCCTCCCCCGAGGCCCCTCCGCAGCTCCGCGTTCTCCGCCGCGGTGCTCTGCAGCTCTGCCCGCAGGCTCCTGCCCAAAACACTTGCTCCGGACGACGAGCGACGGGCGACGGGCGACGGGCGACGACGGCGACGACGACGAGCGACAGTCGACGGCTGACGACGACGACGAGCGACAGTCGACGGCTGACGACGACGACGAACGACGACGACGACGATGACGAGCGACAGTCGGCGGCTGACGACGACGGCGACGACGACGAGCGACAGTCGACGGCTGACGACGACGACGAACGACGACGACGACGATGACGAGCGACAGTCGGCGGCTGACGACGACGGCGACGAGCGGCGAACGGCGAGCGACGGCCGACAGCTGACGATGGGGAGAGCCACGGTGACGAGACGCGGCGGCGGCGAGGGCGCCGACGTCAACGACAACGACGGCGACGGCGACAGCGACGGCGACCGATGACGACGAAAACGATGACGGCCGATTCCGACCGACGCTGACAATGACGTTTTTCTCCACGAGTTTGTGTTGATGTTGATGGACGTTCAGGCGACCGACGACCGTCGATGACGACAAGCGAAGACGATTGTCGACGACGCCGGCTAACGACCGATGACGACGATTGACGACGACGCATGTGATGATGACGACGGGACGACGGCAACGACAGCGACGTCAACGACGACGACGCTACTAGAACGACGAGGACGGCTGACGAGGACAACAGTAACGATGACGAGGACGGCCGACGACAACAGACGCCGACGATTAAGTGTTCTTTGCGGATTTGTTTGGTGTTCCTGGGGGGGTTCGCCGCCACTGCCAGACGCAGCTCGGAGCCTTGCCAGGATGGCGACAAAGACGACGACCGTCGACGACAGTTGCGACGACGACGACGACGACGACGAGGACAAATAATGACGACGACAATGTCGACGATGGTCGCGCGTGCTCTCGAAAAACCCATCTGGAACGACGCTCGCAACCGACCCGTTGAATAGTATAATGTGCTCTCTTGCCCGCGCACAAGCTGGAAACGATCAGAGCACACACGCGCGCGTCCACGGCAAGATGATGACAACCATACCAGTAACGATCATGACCGCAGAAAGCTAGGCTGGCTCGGCGGCACGGAGTGCACGAGGATGCGACACGACGGATGGGGGTTTCAGTCGCACGCTCCGAAAGAGCCAACGAAAGTCACGACACAAAGCCTGCTGACGAGGGTGGCCTATGCAGGCACAGAGGTTGCGAAATCGGTTGCTGCCGCAGCCAACGGGTTGGCGATCAACACGGCCGTCTTGTTGGCCGGGATCATTGCGTGCGCCTGGGCGGCTTCAAACAGCCCGGAGTCAGCCTGGGCACGCTGCTGCTGCCGACTGCGGGGATTTGCACGACTCGGCGATGAGCAGGATGAGGCCGATGCTGGTGGAGACGATGACGACGTCGATGACCAAGACGAGGCGGCGGCCCTCTCCACTTTGACGCGCGAGCTTGCGAAGCGAAGTCGAGCTGGAGCGAAGAGGAGCCACATTGAGAGAGCGGGGGAAATCGGGCGCCGCCTGACATGGACTACGGATCCGTAGACTTCGCGATCGGGGCAACTACCCTTCGGTCGGGCATGTCCTCCCACAGGCGAGTGTGGGGCGAAAAATGACACGTTGTCAAAAAATACTCCGGCAGATTCACAACTAGTAGCGAAAATCGTCGCCAGGCGATTGTTTGACTATCTTTGGATAGTCCTCCTGTAGAGGAGGGACATGCCCAACTTAACACTCCCCCCCGGAAGCACGAGGCCCTCTGGCGGCGGAGCGCGCCGACCCTGCGCGGGAAGGGGGCCCGTCGCCACTCCGCGCGCCTCCGCCTGTGCCTTGGGCGCCCGAGTTATCCGGGGTAACTCGGGTCCGGGGTAACTCGGGTTTGGATTCCCGAAAAACGAACCCGAGTTATCCCTGACCTGAGTTACCCCTGATGATTCGGGGCTCTGGACGCCTGAGTTATCCGGGGTAACTCGGGTCCGGGGTAACTCGGGTTTGGATTCCCGAAAAACGAACCCGAGTTATCCCTGACCCGAGTTACCCCTGATGATTCGGGGCTCTGGACGCCTGAGTTATCCGGGGTAACTCGGGTCCGGGGTAACTCGGGTTTGGATTCCCGAAAAACGAACCCGAGTTATCCCTGACCTGAGTTACCCCTGATGAGTCGGGGCTCTGAGTGCCTGCGCCTCCTCGAGGGAATGCGGCGAAGGGGGGGCTGCGGAGGAGGGAGGGGGCACTCAGAGTCGCTTGGCTCAGCGCCTCCAAACGAGCGCGTATGTCCTGGCGCCGCCGGTGCACGCCAGAGAATCATAACCCACGGCACCGGCGGAGGAACGGCAGCAGCAGAACCAAGCAGCTCATCTTGCAGGGGGGGGGGGACAGGCGGCAGGACCCAAAAACCCAGCGTCGTGATTTGTTCACAACGCGGTCCCCAAGAGGTCTGGACCAGTTCCCCGGGAACAGCTTTCATCCCGAGTCGTTTCTTGACGGTCCCGCGGGCCCGGCGAGGGCCACCGAAGGCCGAAATCGGCCAAAAACCTTCAGTCCTGTTTTGTTTCGCGAGGGACTCCGGCACCCACGCTGAAGGACTACATAACTACGCTGAGCGTGCTCCTCTGCGCGTTCCGCGCTCTCCTCTCCCTCTGCTGCATACTGTGCCCAAGTCGGCCGCGTGTGCCCCGCGTCTGCCTCCGAGCGCGGCTGGAATTCTCGTCGCTGCGACTATAAAGACAAGTGTTGCGTCACGACGCGAGGGTAGACTGCCAGGGGAGGAGTTCTTCATAAGGACATGAAATTCGAGAGGAGGAGGAGAATGAGGAGAAGGAGGAGGAGCAGGAGGAGGAGGAGGTGGAGGAGGAGGATGGGGAGGAGGAGGAGGAGGAGGAGGAGGAGGAGGAGGTGGGTAAGTCTCCGATTGAGTGTGGTGAATACACATCTGAGTATGAGTGAGCCTGGGTGCGAGGTAAATTGCGAATGAGTGAGTCTGAGGGCTGGTGAGTTTGACCGTGAGCGAGTGTGACTGTGAACTGGTCCGGGTGTGGGTGGGTCTGAGGTTGAGCGGGTCTGCGTATGAGCGAGTAAGCGTGAGTCTGAGTGTGACCGAATCTGAATATGCGGCGCTCGCCCGCGCCGCCTCGGCGGCTGCCGACGCTGCCGGCGCTGTGGCCGCCGCGGCCCTCCCTGGGGCCGCTCCGCCTGCCGCGGCCGCTGCGGCCTTCTCGGCGGCCCTGGCCGCTGCGTCCCGTTTGGTCGCAGGTGCTGCCGTCGCCGCTGATGCCGCTGGAGCGGTCGGGCAGGCCCCACGAGGCCCAAAATTACCCCCCAGATGCACCCGAGAGCGCTCCGCAGAGACCCCTAGAAGTATCCCTGAGGACCCTGACCCACGTCAGCATTGTCGTCGTCGTCGTCGTTCAGAGTCGGCGGCACAGGCCGTAAGGCCTCTCCAATAACGCTTACACATTTTTTCTTCGCAATAAGCTTGTCCCAGCATGCCGTGCGACATTGAATGCTCGCTGGCTGCACCTGATAGACAACGCCGAGTCATGCAGACTAGATGCATGCGACGCTGAAATAATCACGGACGGTAAGATAGCACCTGGCCAAAGCGCTACCCTCAACTGCAGGGGTGTACCTAAATGCGCCAGAGCGAAGGAGAGACGGAGATAGAGAGAGAGAGAGAGAAAGAGAAAGGCAGAGCGAGAGACGGAGAGAGAGAGAGAGAGAGAGAGATGGAGAGAGAGAGAAACAAAACAAAAACAAACCAGCCTCGCTGGTGTCCCGCCTGTCCCTCGCCAAGGGGGCAGGTGGCAGAGCAAAGAGGTCCAAGGCGACCAACCCCCAGCGGCCCGTCTCTGTCGGGGCGAGGGACCGAAGCCTCCACAAACATCTCCGGCACTGGCACGACGGCGCCAGAGAGGAGAGAGAGAGGACGAAAGCATGCAGCGCGCCGGCCCGCGCAGGGGAGGAGGAGGAGGAGGACGACGAGGGAGATGCCAGGGAAGGGGGGGATGAGAAGGGGGGGGGGAGGACCCCCGTCCGCTCTGCCTCAGACGGGCTCCGCCGGTCCGGGACCTGCAGTCGTCCCGACGTGGACTCTGCTCCAACTGCGTCCAGCCCCCTCTCGCTCGTCTTCGGTGGCAACTCATGGGAGCCTCCCGTACCAACTTGTCGGCTCTTGCGAATCGACACTCATCGACGCTAAATCGATGCAAATCGACGCTAATCGATGCTAGCCGACGCCAGATCGGCGCTAGCCGACGCTGGGTAGCGCCAGAGGCAAATCGGCGCTAGCCGAACTAAAGACGGAATTTAGAGGGTATACCGGGCTCCGACGATTTGCTTCCGTGCTCGTCTACTCCTTTCGCTGCAGCCGTCCCGACGAATAACGAACTCAGCACTGATAGGTGCTGGCCATCGGCCGCACGCACGGGGCAGCACTCCTTAACTGCCCACGCCTGTGGGGAAGTGCGCGCGGGGTAATGGGGGCACGCCGTTGTTTTGCCCGGTGCCACGGAAGCAGACGGCCACACATGCAATGTTTTGCCCCGAGCTTCTTTTCGAAGATGGCCCCGCTTTTCGGAAGCTCGTCGAAATTCTGCCCGGATGCTCGAGGATGCCAGTGTGGTCGCCGACTGGGCACTGCTGTGCGGTACGCCTCCCTAAAATGACGTACCACCCCGCAGATGCGGATAAGAGTGAGGGGGCGGTGGGGGCGTCGGCAGCTTGCGAGACTCTGGATAAGCCCGCCGCAAGCGCCAAAGTTTCACGCATTATACAACGAGCCCGCCGCAGGCGCCGATTTTTAGTTTAAACAATGTGGGTCGGTCGCGGGTGGGTCGCAAATGGGCCGCGGGTGTAGAGGGCAGAAAATCCACCCCATATTCATCACCCCACCAAGCGAAGCCGTTTAGTAAACTCACACAAGAAATTAATCAAAAAGACAAGGCTGTTAAGAAAACGCCCAGGGCCGATTAGTAAACATCAGTTATCGGGTCCAGGGGGGTCCTCCTCCCTGGGGGT